CCAGGGCGGTCTCACCCAAACGTACTTCTGCTATGTGTGCCTTGGTCCCAAACGGGCGACGCGCGCGCTCAGGAATCTCACAGTGCATGCTCGGTGGCGGGCGCTTTCTGGCCAAGCCGCTGGGGTACCGCTATATTGTGAGATGATTGTGCTGTATTGGTCGGACGCATGCCTCCAAGAATCGTTCACTGGTTTTCGACCCGGACTAGAGCCGCTGGGTGGGTTTGGGAGGTCGCCGCGGCTGTCGCGGCGGCCACACACTGGGACATTTTTGTCACGGAGTAGCGTGCCAGCATGCCCCTTCCCAGCCCCCCCCCACCGCTCTGCGATTTAGACGTGGGCCATCGTGGGCTATAAAGCGACAGAGAGCCATCAATGTATGTCCAACATGGGCAGCCATGTTTTTCTGGTTAGGGGTCGACTACGCGCAATGAAAAGAGGGCGTACTAGTATGTCTTTCTGCGTCCCCGTAGGGGTGCTTGTGGGTGGGCATCGGCCCCCTGCCGGGCGCGGGCGATAGTGCCCACCAGAAGGTCTCAGCACGGAGCGGGCCCTGGGCCGCATGGCTCCAGGGGAGGTGGATCGGGCACAGGAAGGTTTGGCAAGCCCTCTGTATTTGTGCATGCACTCATGGATGTCTGATTGTATGCATGGACGTGTACGCCTGTCTGTCTGCCTGCCTGCCTGTATGAGGCCTCCCAAGAGAGCGCCGACAAGCCCAAATCGTTGATTTTTTTTAGTGTTTTTTTTAGAGGTTTTTGGCCTTCTCGCTTTTTCGGGGTTCGACGCTCCAAGACCGTCCAAGAGTCTCCAAAGACCGCTCCAAGACGGCCGAAGCGGCCCCCAAGACCGCCCCAAGACGGCCCAAGAGAGCCCCAAAATCGTCCCAAGACGGCCCAGGAGAGCCCCAAGATGGCCCAGGAGCCGCCCAAGACGGTTCCAGGAGAGCCCCGACAGGGCTTCAAGATTGCCTAAGCGAGGCCAGCGGTCCCCAAGAGGGCCCCGCGAGGCCCTAAGAGGCCCCAAAGAGGCCCCCAAGAGCTTCCCCGGAGGCCCCCCAGAGGCCCCCCAAATGCCCAAAAATGGCCCTGAGCGCGCCCCAAGACGCCTCCAGGAGAGCCCAACAGGCCTCCGAGAGGCCCCCAAGAGGCCCACTGGAGGCCCTCAGGAGGTCGTCCCCATCATGTTCCCGGAAGGCGGTCCGGGAACATGATTCCGCGCCTTGGAGGAGTATTCTGCGCCTTCCGAGGCGCCTTGGACGACGTACGTATGTTTCTATAGATTGTCCTTCTCCTGTGTGCACAATCCTACATGTTTTACGTGTGTGTATATATACGTATATTTATGTATGTATGTATGTATGTATGTATGTATGTATGTATGTATGTATGTATGTATGTATGTATGTATGTATGTATGAATGTATGTATGTATGTATGTATGTATGTATGTATGTATGTATGTAATGTATGTATGTAATGCAATGCATTTGGTGTATGTAATGGATGTATAACTATAACGGCGCACCCGGGTCGGGGCCAGTGGCCGGGGAACCTCGACCACAATGTGGGCCCCGGGGTGCCCGCTCGATCGGACCGCCGGAGCCGCCAAGATCGTCGCAGCGGCGTTCGAACGCGCTCCGTATTGCCCCAGGATGTCTTCCAAGACGCCTGACATGACACCAGAAGGTCCCAGAAGCCTCCAAACGCTCCGAGTAGGCAGCCCAGAGAGGCCACACAGAAGCACAAATCGTGGCATTCCTGGGAAAAACGTATATTTTTCGCATGTTCGCCGCTTGGGCTTTTCACCCGGCTGCGATCCAAGACGGCCCAAAGAGCGCCCAGCACGATTCTACGAGGCCTACGGGATACGCTCCACGGCTGCGCACAGAGTGGCCAGACGCCCCATGACGGCCCCAAGACGGCCCAAGAGAGCCCCAAGACGAGTTCGAGAGGGGTCCAGACGGAGAAAGCCAACCTCGAATTCCGAGCTTCCGGCCCAAGAGGCTCCAGGAGGCGCCAAAATGCCGCCAAGAGGCGCCAAAAGGCTCCCAAAAGCACCCCAAGACGTTCCGAGAGGCACCCCACGAGAGGTCCAAGAAACAAAAATCGTGCCATTCCTATGGGAAAACGTATATTTTTCGCATGTTCGCATCTTGTGGCTTTCACCGCGTTAAATCCAGGACGCCAGAGGCCTTCCAGACGGCTAGGATGCCTCCGTAAGCGCTCCAGGCTGCGCACAGAGTGGCTCAGGACGGCCCCAAGACGGCCCAAGAGAATCCCAAAACGACTTCGAGAGGGGTCCCAGAAGGAGAAAACCACTCTCGAATTCCGAGCTTCCGGCCCAACACATCCCAGGAGGCGCCAAAACGCCGCCCAGATGCGCCAAAAGGCTTCCAAAATCAGCCCAAGACGTTCCGAGAGGCACCCCAAGAGAGGTCCAAGAAGCAAAAATGGTCCCATTCCTATGGGAAAACGAATACTTTTCGCATGGTCGCCTGTTGGGTTTTCACCGCGTCCAACACGTCCGAAGAGGCTCCCAAGACGGCCTAGGTGGCCCCCAAGAGAGTTCCAAGACGGTTCACAAGGCGCCCAGGACGGCAAAATTGGACTCCAAAATGGCCTAAGAGAGCCCCAAGGCGTGCCCGAGAGGGGTCCCAGAGGGAGAAAGCCACTGTAGAATTCTGAGCTTTCGGCCCCAAGAGGCTCCAGGAGGCGCCAAGAGAGCTCCAAGAAGCCCCCACGAGAGACCCAGGACGCCCCAATAGTACTCCAAGGCGGCCACAATAGAGCCCCAAGATGGGCCCCAGGCAAAGAAAGGGTTCACATGTTTTTGTTATTGATCGCTTCGCTGGAAAGTGCCGTGATGAGGAGGAAGACTAGGAGGAATCGGAGGGCGGGAAGCGAGGAGAGGAGAGGGAAAAGGAAGGAGGATTTCCTGGGTCTGTCACTACATCGACCAGAAACCTACTACTCGCGAAGCGCGCGCGCGTGAGTTCTAGTACTGTATGATATGTTGTATTATGTATGTATGTATGAACATATCTATGTGTATATAGTATGTAGGAAACATGCATGCATGCAATGCATGCATGCAATGCAATCGTATGGATCTGTATGTATGTATTTCATGTTGATATGTATATATGTATTTTGCATAAGGTTGTAATGTAAATGTAGTATGTATGTATGTATGTATCTATGTATGTATGTATGCATGCATGCATGCATGCATGCATGTATGGATGTATGTATGTATGTATGTATGTATGTATGTATGTATGTATGTGTATCTCTCTCTATTTATATATGCGTATATATATATATATATATATATGTATAGGTATATCTATCTATGTATATATATATATAGATATAATTGGGGAGGGGGTCCTGGACCAGGGGGGGGGGCCTCACTTTGCCCAGTGGCTGTGGTCACCCCCTCGCCGGAGACGCCAGGACGCTCCCAGGACCTTCTAAAATGGCTCCAGGACGCCCTCAGGGCAGCCCAAGAGAGGTCTGAAGCGGCCCGGGAGCACTCCAAGACGGTTAAAAAATTGCCAAAGCGTCCCAGCAGGTCTCCGACAGCACTCCCGGGAGGGGCCCAATAGGAATTTGTCACTGATTTTTAGTGGGTTTTGAATGGTTTTGGCGTTCTCCCCAGTTCGGCTTCCAGACGCTCCAAGGCGGCCCAAGAGGCCCGAAAGATTGCCTCAAGATGAGCTCAGAGGCCCCCAAGAGACCACCGAGACAGCCCAAGAGGGCCCCAAGACGGCCCAGAAGCTTCCAAGACGGCCCAAAAGAGCTCCCAGAACACTCCAAGAGAAGCCCCAGATGGGGAACACGAACTGACATTTCGAGCACTCGCCCACCAGAAGCTCCCAAGAGGCCCCCAGGAGTCCGCAAGAGGCCTCGAGAGGCCCCCAGGAAGCTCCAAGAGGCCTCCATAAGGCGCCGAAAGGGCCCCGCAAGGCTTCCAGACGCTGGTGATAATGACAATGATGATTATGCAGGGCGGCCTCAGGCCCACAACCTAAATCCCCAATACTGCTCACGCGGCATGCAAGACGCTGCGGAGATATCCTCGAGTTCGGCGGGGG